GGCTTCATTGCCCCAGCTAAATACTAGATGGCCCCGGGCCATCGGGCAGTCCTTAATGTCGAGCCCTGTGTAAAGCGCTTTGAGTCATTGAAAAAGCGCTATAATAAATGTAAGGAATTATTATCATTATTATTGTTGCTCTCCCTGAGGTTTCTCCCATGTTCCCTTAAACTGTGGGTTTTCTCTGGAAGTTTTTCCTTGTACGATGTGAGGGTCTGAGGACAGAGGGTCTAAGGACAGAGGGTCTAAGGACAGAGGGTCTGAGGACAGAGGGTCTGAGGACAGAGGGTCTGAGGACAGAGGGTCTGAGGACATAGGGTCTAAGGACAGAGGGTCTGAGGACAGAGGGTCTGAGAACAGAGGGTCTGAGGACAGAGGGTCTGAGGACAGAGGGTCTGAGGACAGAGGGTCTAAGGACAAAGGGTCTAAGGACAGAGGATGTCGTATTGTCATACTGATATTCTGTACAAACTGTAAAGTCCACTGAGACAAATGTAACATTTGTGATATTGGGCTATAAATAAACATTGATCGATTGATTGATTGATTGATGTATAGCTAGCTAGCTGTATATGTTCCCTATAGTTACTGTAGTGCACATTTACAGCTATCTATCTCAGTAGATGGCTGTATATGTTCCCTACATAATGATATATATAAAACACAACTATAGGGAACATATGCAGCTAGCTATCAAACTAGCTAACAGTATATGTTCTCTATATACATACTGCAAATAGGGAACATATACAGTAACTATAGGGAACATATACAGCTAATTATTTAACGAGCTAGCTGTATATGTTCCCTTTATAATTGTATATCGGGAACATATAACTATAGGGAACATTTATAGTTATCTAACTGATGTCTGATGCCTTTGTTTTAAGTAAGTGAAAGTCAGCTTATGTCTTTGCTAAAAGGAGGGGAGGCAACTATTTTAAATAACTTTAGGCCAATCTCTAAGTTGTCAGTTCTGGCCAAGGTGCTCGAACGCCTAGTGAGTGAACAGGTAAAGGAGTTTTTATGTAAAAATGACATCCTGTCTAAACATCAGTCAGGCTTCAGAAAGCAACACAGCACCATCACTGCCACAATGAAAGTGGTGAATGATTCTGTTTTAGGTCCACTTTTATTCTCCATATCAACAGTTTAGGTGAAAATGTGGATGAAGCTACTTTACATTTGTATGCTGATGATACCGTGATGTACTGTGCAGGTCCCTCCATTCAGGAGGCTGCTGTTAAATTACAGGCTGTTTTTAACATTATTCAGACTCAGCTCTCTGAACTAAAGCTTCTTTTAAATGTTGATAAAACCAAGGTAATGCTCTTTCTAAAGCTAAAAAGACACCAGAGCCTGCTTTGGATATTGTTACTATGCAAGGACAAGTACTCAAAGTGGTTACCTGTTACAAATACCTTGGTATCTGGCTTGATGATTGTCTCTCTTTTAAACTTCAGGTCATTAATCTGCTTAAAAAGCTGAGGGTTAGGCTAGGTTTCTTTTTCAGGAACAAGTCCTGTTTCTCGCTTGAGGCCAGGAAAAGGCTCTGTGACCTTTGACCTGTGCTGGACTATGGTGATTTGTCGTATATGAATGCACCTGCCCATCACCTGAACAAGTTAGATGCCGTCTATCACAGTGCTCTGAGATGTGTTTACTAACTGTAAAGCACTTACTCTTCACTGTACCCTGTATGCAAGGGCTGGTCTGCCTTCACTAACAGTACGGAGGCTCAGTCACTGGTACACGTTCATCTATAAAACTGAGGTAATGGTTTTTGGAGCCAAGGCAGAACGTATAAAAGTTAGCGCTGAGCTTCAGTGTGCAATGTTCAAAACAACAGATAGAGCCAGAAATCTAGGTGTAGTCATGGACTCTGACCTGAGTTTCAACAGTCACATTAAAACAGTTACTAAATCAGCCTACTATCACCTAAAGAATATATCTAGGATTAAAAGACTAATGTCACAGCAGGATTTGGAAAAACTTGTCCATGCTTTTATCTTCAGTAGACTGGACTACTGCAATGGTGTCTTCACAGGTCTCACTAAAACATCTATTAGGAAGCTGCAGCTGATTCAGAACGCCGCTGCTCGAGTCCTCACTAACACTAAGAAAGTGGATCACATCACTCCTGTTCTGAAGTCTTTACACTGGCTTCCTGTGTGTCAAAGAATAGATTTCTAAATACTGCTGCTGGTTTATAAAGCACTGAATGGTTTAGGCCCAAAATACATTTCTGACCTCCTGCTAAATGATGAACCATCCAGATCTCTCAGGTCTTCAGGGACTGGTCAGCTTTCTGTCCCCAGAGTCAGAACTAAACATGGAGAAGCAGCGTTCAGTTATTATGCTCCAAATATCTGGAACCAACTCCCAGAAACCTGCAGGTCCGCTGCAACTCTGACTACTTTCAAATCCAGGCTGAAGACTTTTCTTTTTGTCGCTGCTTTTAATTGAACTATTCATATCTTAGACTGCACTGTAACTTTTATCCATGTATTTTTTCTTTTAATGTTTAATTGCACTGTAACTTTTATCCATGTATTTTTTCTTTTAATGTTTATTTTATTAGCTTTTCTTTTTAATGACTGATTTTAAATGCCATTTTCTTAATCTCTTTCATTTTTTGTAAAGCACTTTGAATTGCCTTGTGTTGAAAAGTGCTATATAAATAAACTTGCCTTGCCTTGCCTTGCCTATAAAGCCATGTTGGGTAAACTACCTTTTTATATCTGCTCTCTGATCTCTCGACGAATTGAAAGTACATATTGCCTGAGATCTCATGATGTTGTTTTATTAAATGTGCCAAGTGCTAGGACTGACTTAGGGAAGAAAGCTTTTAGTTGTGCAGCTCCACTAACTTGGAACAGTCTGCAAACATGTTTCAAACTGAGCACTTTGGTTCCCCTGCATCATTTTAAAACTCAGCTGGGCGACATGCTGTTTGATACTCATGGTACCTGTCTCTGTGAATAGAGTTTGGAAACTGGACCCTGTACATTATGTTGTCATCCTTATTGTTGTTCTGTTGTTTTTATGTTACATGTGTAACTAATGTCCTGCAGGTCACCTTGAAAAAGAGATCTTTTGATCTCAAGGGGCTTCACCTGGTTAAATAAAGGCTACAAGCAAAAGTAAATGCCGGAAATCACAAGCTTCTGTTTCCAGTCTCTTCCTTGAGATATCCAGAAATTATACAAATAAACAACAATAGCTGTTGTTGTGTATAACTATAGGGAACATATACAACTAGATATTTAGCTAGCTAGTTGTTTATGTTCCCTTTATAACTCTATATAGGGAACATTCAGTTATTGTCTCAATTAGGCCTTCAATTAGGAGGAAATCAACAGATCCACAGCAGGGTTTCACATATGTGTGTGTGTGTGTGTGTGTGTGTGTGTGTGTGTGTGTGTGTGTGTGTGTGTGTGTGTGTGTGTGTTTCCCCCCCACATTCACATCATTGATTGCGTTTAAAACCAATGAGTGAGTTGTAAGTCTTGTGTGTGTTTTTCACGTTCAGCTCAAAGGGACTTGCCGGGGAAAGACCTCCAACATGCGGCTCTTCAGGAGTAATGACTCCACATTAAGACGACTTTTACTATGTTTGATCTTCCCATTTAAAGGGGGGGGAGGTGAAGCTAAGGGAATATAACAAAACAGCGAAAATCCAGTAAACCAGACTCTGTGTTTGTTTCTACAGTAAAGAAGGGAGGTGTGTTTTAACCTCACAACAATAAAGGGCTTTCAAAGACATGAAAAGTGTCTGTGTGTTATTTTGGGTCTCATTAAGAGTAACCAGACAGAGGACATTAAACACGTGTTGGGATGCAGAGTCATCATGTAGCTCTGATTCGTCCCGTCAAAACATTCAAATGTTTGTTCCAAAGCAGCTCCTGTGATTGTCAGAAGTCTATTTTTGAATCTGATTCAAAACAGATAGAAACAAATGCAAAGAAAAAACAAAAAAACCTACAGAAAATGTCAAAGATAGCACCACGAACCACAGCTTTCTGTTCATCAATCAATCAATGTTTATTGATATAGCCCAATATCACAAATGTTACATTTGTCTCAGTGGACTTTACAGTTTGTAAAAAATATCAGTATGACAATACGACACCCTCTGTCCTTAGACCCTCTGTCCTTAGACCCTCTGTCCTTAGACCCTCTGTCCTTAGACCCTCTGTCCTTAGACCCTCTGTCCTCAGACCCTCACATCGTACAAGGAAACACTTCCAGAGAAAACCCACAGTTTAAAGGGAACATGGAGAAACCTCAGGGAGAGCAACAGAGGAGGGATCCCTCTCCCAGGACGGACAGACGTGCAATAGATGCCGTGTGTAAATTGAAAAGATAATACATTTGCAACATAGGTAGTCCAAATGTTTGGAAATGCATGTGTGTATAATAGGAAAATGAATCCACGAGGATATCCATCCAGGACCTATGATCCAGCCACGACTCAAGATCCAGGACCACACATCTAAGAGTAACAATTTTATCGTTAAAAAAGCACATAAAATCATTGCTACTGAGTGCTATGGGAATAGAAGGCTCAATCGAGCTGTGGCTTTCTGTCAGCCTGGCTACAGTGCTGAAAAGAAATCTTGCATTATTCTTATTCTCATCTATTAATGAAGAGTAGTAGGCTGCTCTCGCTTTACGCAGTGCTTTCTTATATTCATTGAGAGTAATATGCCAAATTAAACGAGACTCTTCAAGTTTAGTGGAACGCCATATCCTTTCAAGTTGTCTCGACTTTTGCTTTATTTTGTTCATGTCTAATCTGTTTGGGGATTTAGTCTTTCATATGAAGTCATTTTATCTCGATGTCTTTCCGCTCTTTCAAAAGCAAAAAATACCTCCACAAATATGAGATTTCCATTCAAACGTGACTAATTTCTCTGCGTTATGCAACCTATGGGAGGTCAACTGTGGTGCACAGACACAGACAAACAGTTGGCTGTGATGCAGACTGATTTGTTTACCTCTTAGTTTTTTCTGTCTGGGAACTCTGGGGGTTTCCTCTCTTCACCGCGGGGTCCGAGGGGCCAAGGTGACGGAAACGGCGTTTTCGACACGGGGCGACGTCCGTGATGTCCTTCAGGCTGTCGTCCAACTCTGAGGGGACACATCAGTCAGGGGAGTATAAATACTTTGTTACTGTACTTAAGTACATTCCTCTGGTATCAGTACTTTACTCCACTACTTACTTTTTACTTTGACTTCTTACACTTTGAACCCAATACCTGTACTTTCTACTTCTTACATGTTGAACTCAAATACCTGTACTTTCTACTTCTTACATGTTGAACACAAATACCTGTACTTTCTACTTCTCACATGTGGAACTCAAATACCTGTACTTTCTACTTCTCACATGTTGAACTCAAATACCTGTACTTTCTACTTCTCACATGTTGAACACAAATACCTGTACTTTCTACTTCCTTACATGTTGAACTCAAATACCTGTACTTTCTACTTCTTACATGTTGAACTCAAATACCTGTACTTTCTACTTCTTACATGTTGAACACAAATACCTGTACTTTCTACTTCTTACATGTTGAACTCAAATACCTGTACTTTCTACTTCTTACATGTTGAACTCAAATACCTGTACTTTCTACTTCTCACATGTTGAACCCAAATACCTGTACTTTCTACTTCTTAATGTGGAACTCAAATACCTGTACTTTCTACTTCTTACATGGTTGACCTCAAATACCTGTACTTTCTACTTCTCACATGTTGAACTCAAATACCTGTACTTTCTACTTCTTACATCTTGAACACAAATACCTGTACTTTCTACTTCTTACATGTTGAACTCAAGTACCTGTACTTTCTACTTCTTACATGTTGAACCCAAATACCTGTACTTTCTACTTCTTACATGTTGAACTCAAGTACCTGTACTTTCTACTTCTTACATGTTGAACTCAAATACCTGTACTTTCTACTTCTTACATGTTGAACACAAATACCTGTACTTTCTACTTCTCACATGTTGAACTCAAATACCTGTACTTTCTACTTCCTTACATGTTGAACTCAAATACCTGTACTTCTACTTCTTACATGTTGAACCCAAATACCTGTACTTTCTACTTCTTACATCTTGAACACAAATACCTGTACTTTCTACTTCTTACATGTTGAACTCAAATACCTGTACTTTCTACTTCTTACATGTGAACACAAATACCTGTACTTTCTACTTCTTACATGTTGAACTCAAATACCTGTACTTTCTACTTCTATACATGTTGAACTCAAATACCTGTACTTCTACTTCTTACATGTTTGAACACAAATACCTGTAATTTCTACTTCTTACATGTTGAACACAAATACCTTGTACTTTCTACTTCTCACCTGTTGAACTCAAATACCTGTCTATTTCTACTTCTTACCATGTTGAACACAAATACCTTACTTTCTACTTCTTACATGTTGAACTCAAATACCTGTACTTTCTACTTCTTACATGTTGAACCCAAATACATGTACTTTCTACTTCTTAACATGTTGAACCCAAATACGTGTACTTTTCTACTTCTTACATGTTGAAAACAAATACCTGTACTTTCTACTTCTTACATGTTGAACTCAAATACCTTGTACTTTCCTTCTTTCAAACTTCTTACATGTTGAACCCAATACCTGTACTTTCTACTTCTTACATGTGAACTCAAATACCTGTACTTTCTACTTCTTAAATGTTGACTCAAATAACCTGTACTTTCGACTTCTTTACATGTGACTCAAATACCTTTACTTTCCTACTTTCTTCATTAGACTTTCTACTTCGTACATGTTGAACCCAAATACCTGTACTTTCTACTTCTTACATGTTGAACACAAATACCTGTACTTTCTACTTCTTACATGTTGAACACAAATACCTGTACTTTCTACTTCTTACATGTTGAACTCAAATACCTGTACTTTCTACTTCTTACATGTTGAACCCAAATACCTGTACTTTCTACTTCTTACATGTTGAACTCAAATAACCTGTACTTTCTACTTCTCACATTTGAACTCAAATACCTGTACTTCTACTTCTTACATGTTGAACTCAAATACCTGTACTTTTCTACTTCTTACATGTTGAACTCAAATACCTGTACTTTCTACTTCTACATGTTGAAACCCAAATACCTGTACTTTCTACTTCTTACAATGTTGAACTCAAATTACCTGTACTTTCTACTTCTTACATGTTGAACACAAATACCTGTACTTTCTACTTCTTACATGTTGAACACAAATACCTGTACTTTCTACTTCTTACATGTTGAACACAAATACCTGTACTTTCTACTTCTTACATGTTGAACACAAATACCTGTACTTTTTACTTCTTACATGTTGAACTCAAATACCTGTACTTTCTACTTCTTACATGTTGAACACAAATACCTGTACTTTTTTACTTCTTACATGTTGAACTCAAATACCTGTACTTTCTACTTCTCACATGTTGAACTCAAATACCTGTACTTTCTACTTCTTACATGTTGAACTCAAATACCTGTGTACTTTCTACTTCTTACATGTGAACACAAATACCTGTACTTCTACTCTTACATGTTGAACTCAAATACCTGTACTTTCTACTTCTTCACATGTTGAACTCAAATACCTGTACTTTCTACTTCTTACATGTTGAACTCAAATACCTGTACTTTCTACTTCTTCACATGTTGAACCTCAAATACCTGTACTTTCTACTTCTCACATGTTGAACTCAAATACCTGTACTTTCTACTTCTTCACATGTTGAACTCAAATACCTGTACTTTCTACTTCTTACATGTTGAACTCAAATACCTGTACTTTCTACTTCTCAGATGTTGAACCCAAATACCTGTACTTTCTACTTCTCACATGTTGAACTCAAATACCTGTACTTTCTAACTTCTTACATGTTGAACTCAAATACCTGTACTTTCTACTTCTTACATGTTGAACACAAATACCTGTACTTTCTACTTCTTACATGTTGAACTCAAATACCTGTACTTTCTACTTCTTACATGTTGAACTCAAATACCTGTACTTTCTACTTCTTACATGTTGAACTCAAATACCTGTACTTTCTACTTCTCACATGTTGAACTCAAATACCTGTACTTTATCTACTTCTTACATGTGCTGAACTCAAATACCTGTACTTTCTACTTCTTAATGTTGAACACAAATACCTGTACTTTCTACTTCTTACATGATTGACTCAAATACCTGTACTTTCTACTTCTTACATGTTGAACTCAATACCTGTACTTTCTACTTCTCACATGTTGAACTCAAATACCTGTACTTTCTACTTCTTACATGTGAACCCAATACCTGTACTTTCTACTTCTTACATGTTGAACCCAATACCTGTTACTTTCTACTTCTTACATGTTGAACTCAAATACCTGTACTTTCTACTTCTTACATGTTGAACTCAAATACCTGTACTTTCTACTTCTTACATGTTGAACCCAATACCTGTACTTTCTACTTCTTACATGTTGAACCCAAATACTGTACTTTCTACTTCTTACATGTTGAACTCAAATACCTGTACTTCTACTTCTCACATGTTGAACTCAAATACCTGTACTTATCCTACTTCTCACATGTTGAACTCAAATACCCTTTACTTTCTACTTACTTACATGTTGAAACACAATACCTGTACTTTCTACTTCTTACATGTTGACACAAATACCTGTACTTTCTACTTCTTACATGTTGAACAAAATACCTGTACTTCTACTTCTCACCATGTTTGAAACCAAATACCTGTACTTTCTACTTCTTACATGTTGAACCAAATACCTGTACTTTCTACTTCTTACATGTTGAACTCAAATACCTGTACTTTCTACTTCTTACATGTTGAAACAAATACCTGTACTTTCTACTTCTCACATGTTGAACTCAAATACCTGTACTTTCTACTTCTTACATGTTGAACTCAAATACCTGTACTTTCTACTTCTTACATGTTGAACCAAATACCTGTACTTTCTACTTCTTCATGTTGAACTCAAATACCTGTACTTTCTACTTCTTACATGTTGAACACAAATACCTGTACTTTCTACTTCTCACATGTTGAACTCAAATACCTGTACTTTCTACTTCTTACATGTTGAACCCAAATACCTGTCTTTCTACTTCTTACATGTTGAACCAAATACCTGTACTTTCTACTTCTTACATGTTGAACTCAAATACCTGTACTTTCTACTTCTCACATGTTGAACCAAATACCTGTACTTTCTAATTCTCACATGTTGAACACAAATACCTGTACTTTCTACTTCTCACATGTTGGAACCCAAATACCTGTACTTTTCTACTTTCTTACATGTTGAACCCAAATACCTGTACTTTCTACTTCTCACATGTTGAACTCAAATAACCTGTACTTTCTACTTCTTACATGTTGAACCCAAATACCTGTACTTTCTACTTCTCACATGTTGAACCCAAATACCTGTACTTTCTACTTCTCACATGTTGAACTCAAATACCTGTACTTTCTACTTCTCACATGTTGAACTCAAATACCTGTACTTTCTACTTCTTACATGTTGAACACAAATACCTGTACTTTCTTACTTCTCACATGTTGAACCCAAATACCTGTACTTTCTACTTCTTACATGTTGAACTCAAATACTTGTACTTTCTACTTCTCACATTTTCCAAACAGCTGGTTCCTTTATTTTGAATGTGTGTTTGGTGCGTGATCATTATTCTTTAGAGTCATTGCGTGCCTACATAAAAGTAAAACAACAATTAAAAAGACGGATAGAAAACTATTTTGAAAAACTATAATAACATAAAAATATTATAGTAAAATAAAGCAGTATTTACATTGATCTATAGAATATTGAAACTTACCAGGATAACTTTAATATTACAATTCATTCAAACAAAAACTAAAGTTACGGTCACGTTAATGTTGAGAAGACTGCTTGCTCGATATCCATTTGTTAATCCCAGCTGGAAGATATTTAACGTCCATAAATGAAGAAGCAGATTGTGCAAAGGCATGAGACGGGAAATGTTCGTTGGAAAACGTTCTTAGGGTCCATCAGGGACGGCAG